ACATGAACCTTTTCACAACTCCCACTACATGAGCAATGTCTGCTCTGGTGCAAACCATTGCATACATTAAACTGCCAACTATAGATGCGTAGGGAACTTTAGCCATGTATTCTCTATCTTCTTCTATTTTTAGGGATTGCTTCTTGGTAAGTCTCTACCGATCCCCAATGGTGTACTTCTGGCTTTCTCATCTGCCATGTTGAACTTTTCTAAAACTTTCTTAATGTACTTGGCTTATGAAAGTTTTGGTGTACCGGTAACTCTGTCCATGGCATGCTCATGCCAAATATTTGTTTAGCAACCCCTAAATTCTTCATCTCGAACTCACTGGACAACTGCTTCTTTAGCTTATTGATCTCCTGCATGTCGGATCTAGCAATCAACATGTCATCAACATATAACTACAGAATGATATATGCGGATTTGAATTTCTTCAAATAATAGCAGTGATCCATCTCACATCTGTTGTAACTATTCCTCTGCATGAAGCTATCAAACTTCAAGTACCACTGCCTTGGAGCCTGCTTCAAACCATACAAAATTTTCTTTAGTTCACACACCATATTTTCCTTGCCAAATGTGGGAAAACCTTCTAGTTGTGCCATGTAGATATCTTCTTCAAGGTCGCCATGGAGAAAAGTTGTTTTCACATCTAGTTGCTCTATATGGAGATCTTCAGAGGCCATGATTCCCAAAAACATTCTAATTGTATTCATCTTCATAAATGGAGAAAAGATCTTATTATAATCAACCTCCCTCTTATGTTAGAAACCCTTGACTACCAATCTTGCCTTGTATCTCTTGGTTCCATCAATCTCATCCTTAACCCGAAACACCCACTTGTTTTGCAGTGACCAAGGAACAAGTGTGATTCTTGTCAAGTGAGCTCAATTCTTCTTCCATATCCTTCTTCCACTGTATGGATTCTTTCATCCTCAAGGCTTCTAGATAAGACTCAGGTTCACTATTCTCTATTAGCAACAAGAAGTTTGCTAAAGGAGAATACCTGACTGGAGGCCTTCGTACTCTAGTGGATCTATGGACAGTAGGAGTTTCAGTTTCTACACCTTCATTATATGAACTACTGTCACCTATGCTCTCACTATCTCCGGTTTCATCAGATCTCCCATTGCTTCCTGAACTTTCAACTATCTCTAGAGTACTGACAAGTTTTATAATGTCGTCTTCTGAAGTTTCTTCTAACTCAACTTGTTCTTCCTTTTCTGGTTGTTTATTACTGCTTGAACCCTTAGCAAGTTCATCCTTGTATAGCGCATTCTCATTGAAAACCACATACTGACTTTTGATAACCTTTTTGTGCTCGTTATCGCAGAAGCGGTAAACCATGTCATCCAACCCATAGCTTATTGTAACATCCCAATGATGAGGTGCTTCTAGTTTTGACCCTTATGTTGATATTTATTGCATTTTAGTCCTTATAATGTAAGAATTGTGGATTGGAGGGGCTGTTATTGCCACTGTTGGATTTTTGGGGGTGGAGCCACTTACCCTGGGCGTATGATTTGTGTACGCAGGGCTTACGCGGTGAAGTCCCAAACCCTAATCTTTAGGGTTTGCACCCTATTTCTTTATCACTAACTCCCAAACTTAGCTCCTTCCATCAGCCCCCATCCTTTCATACGTCCTTGCAACCCTAATTCACATTGTGGAGCATTTATAAGCTTGTGAGTGTATGTTTTGTGCCTTTGAAGAAGAAGGGAGGAAGTAGAGACTATCTTGGAGGTATAAAGTTCTGAACTTGGTGAAGTTTCATTTGGATCTTGTTTTAGGCTTGATGTAGGTTCTTTTTATCCCAAATGTGGTGTTTCTTGAGCATGGCATGTTCTTGACCCATTAAGCCATCCTTTCAGACCTTAGGAAGGGTATTGAGTCATAAAAATGGGGTCTTAATGGTTGGTTTTTCTCCATGCATTCTTTAGAAGGTCTTAGTGTATTAAGATGTTGAGTTAAGCACTTAATGGACATGCAAAGTCTTAATGGTTGGTTTTTCTCCATGCATTCTTTAGAAGGTCTTAGTGTATTAAGATGTTGAGTTAAGCACTTAATGGACATGCAAAGTCATAAAGCTGGAAACTTTATGAGTCTTGAGGATGATTTGGCCTTGGATCTGGGAGTTGGATGTAAAAGCTTAAGGAATTAAGCTCTTAATATGTTTTCGGAAGACTAGGCGTACGGCCTGCGTAATCTGAGTACGCAACGCGTACGTGGTCAACCTCACCGATGGTGGTTAATGCTCGAGTACGCCCCGCGTACACATTCTGTGTTGAATCGGCTGGGTTGAATCAGCTGACTTGTTAGCTTTGACCAAGTTTAACTTTAGGTAAAACTTGAGGGTTTTGATTGGTGATTAAGATTCAATTGATTCTGAAGTTAGTGGAACCACATGAGCAAGCACTGTAGCAGGGAGCGTATCGCGGTGTTCTCAGGTTTTCATTTCTGGTGAGTTTTGCCTCATTGGATTGTGGGTCGAAGGAACCAATGTCAGCCCACTAGTTTTGATTATCTGTTAGTAGAAGGATGCCTTAGGGACTGTATATAGTCATGTAGGATAGACTGAGGACTCTTGGTCTAGGCTCTCTTACCTGTTCCTTGTTTAGGTGTGATTCTAGATTAGGACCACCTGTATGGGTGGCTATCTCACCTCTGAATATATACGGTCATGCATTCCTTGGATTTTGATACTTAGTATGCTGTTATGCTATAGTGATCTGTTAGATCTATATACTGGTATCGGGTATGCTATTATACTGTAGTGATCTGTTAGATCTGTATCCTGGTATCGAGTATACTGTTATGCTATAGTGATATGTTGGATTTGTATCCTTGCATCGAGTATATTGTTATGCTATAGTGATTTGTTAGATCTGTATCCCGGTATCGAGTATGCTGTTATGCTGTAGTGATCTGTTAGATATGTATTCTGGTATCGAGTATGTTGCATTGGCATAGTGATATGTAGATCCGTATGTTATCTGTACTTGTCGGTTACCCTCTGCAGTCACGTAGGATAACATGAGAACTCTTGGTCTAGGCTCTCTTTCCTGTCCCTTGTTTGGTTTTGGCTCTATAGTAGGATCATATGTTTGGGTGGCTATCTCACCTCTAGTTACCTATGGTTACAGATTTCATGGAGGATGGATGATAACAAGACTGTATGTTGTGAGAGGACTTGTAGGTGATAGTGAGCTGTATGTTTGATGTTTGCCTTAATTATGTGCCTAATTGATCCTTGTTTGTTTATATGTCGACATATGGTAGTGGTGGATTGAGGCGGTCCTACTTTGTGCTGTAGGCCAAGATACCCGGTGTGGGCCGGCTGTAAGCTGTAGGCATGAAGGCTTTGGAAGAGTGGTCAGATTGAGGCGGTAGGCCAACAAACCCTAAGTATTCCAGCCCGATGGCTGATCATACCTGTTGCATGTTGGCATTCCAATCCAAGGGACTGATTGGTCATGGGCATTCTAATCGGGAGGTTGTGGGCCATTATGCGTACTTGTATGTTTATCGTATGGGGTATTTTGGGGGAAACTCACTAAGCTTCATGCTTATCCAGTTGTTTATTTTTTCATGCATACAAGGTAACCCTAAAAGCTCCCATAATCTACAAGTACAACATTTTCCCTTCAAGTCAACTCCGTAGCTTTGAAACTTGTTCCTTACTTCATACTCATTCACTTCACTTGGAACTACATACCAACTTCTGCAAACACATAAGATAGTATATAAGGAGAAAATATAAACATGAAAAAACAAACCACTTGAAATTACTTACTTAATGTCTTCTCCAAATTCTTCCATCTTTGTTATTGCTAAAGGACAAACTTCACCAACCCAGTTTTCAGCCTCTTGTTTCAGATTATAACACCTTTCCATCATGTAAAGCCTAATATCTTCAAGCATAGTGAGTAGAGGTTTCGTTCTTGCATCTACGATGATTTCATTAAAATCAGCAACCCCACTCTCTACAACCTCACAAGCCAATCCAGTAGAGAAATAAGCCATGCACCATGAAGTTGGTTCCCTTTCCATGAGATGATCATAAGTAGCAGAACTTATTGCCCCGATCCTTTCCATGTTAATATTGAATTCTCCTTCTATTGTAGATTTTGCAGTTTCCCAAAACATGTTTCTAAACTCCACTCCACTATAAACGTTTCTGAAATTTTCATAGATATGCCTCGCACATTGCCTATGCTCAACATAGGGTAGAATATGCTTACTAGCTTCAAGAATAACCTTTCACATGAAAAAAAAGTTAATTAGCAACTACAAAAAACTATTGTAAACAAATTGCAAGTAATCACAAATAAAAATATAGTTACTTTACCTTGTTTTGATTAGTGATTACACACACACCCCTTCCACCCTGCAATCCAAGGTCATTATTAACCAAAACAAAAACCACTTCCAGTTATTCTTGTTCTCTACATCAACAACTGCCCAAGCTATAGGATGCACCTGATTTTTAGCATCCCTACCTATTATAGTTAACAACCCGCCTTTACATTTTCCCTTAAAAAACGAACCATCCAATCCTATTACCCTACAACATCCCTTTTTCCACACCTCTCTTATTGCTTTAAAGTTAATGTAGATTCTATGAAATGTTGTGGTATTATCATGGTTTACATTAGCAATAATCCTAAACGTATTGTTTAGATCAGCTCATGCCATAATCCCAAACTCTTGCATAGTGGTCACTCAATTTCCCATTAATTAATGATAGTGCCCTCATCCTTGATCTATAGCACTTTGACCATGACATTTTGCAACGAAATTTACTTTGTATAATTATATGCATCTCCTTGCATTTTAAATTAGGTTTCCTAATCAACCCCTTCACAAATTTCCTTGCTAACTAGGTAGGATCCATAAGCCTTGTATTGTTAAAACTCCTAATGCATGTATGAATGTCTATACTTTTTTTTGACTTGGAATAACCTTTTAGTACTCATCCAAGAAGCCCTAACCACGAATGGTCACTTCTCTGGATCACCTCCACATATTTCCACTATTCTAACATTATCACATTTTTTTAAACGAATTTGAAAACCCTTACTAACAATATAGTTGGTTAAACACAAATTCAGTTCATGTGGGGATTCATACCTTTCACCAAGAGTTGGTTTGATTATGTTCCATTTTACCTTTGGGTTGCGAGTGGAATACTCGAAATCTTCATCAGTATCTTCTTCATGACTACCTTCCATATAATCTTTGTTTGATTGTTCTATATTGATTTCAGTTTGAGCATCATCATTTGCGTCATCATCGTCTTCTTCATAGAGAATATGTAGAAATTCGTCTTTGCATTGGGAAACTTGTTTCCTTTTGAAGTATGCATCAAGATCCAAATCTATGGTATCAAAATCATGGATGTCTTCCATGATTTCAAATGCACGCACGTGTTCAAGGGTAAAAACCCTAGTTCACTAAGGGGGAATGTGAAACGAGAGAGGGGAAAGTAAACTTCGAGTGTTTGTAAATAAGATGGCGATTGAATCCACATAAGCCAATCCTGGCTACAATATCAATTGTTTCTGGATACAAGAAGGTCACTAGTTGAAGAGGGTCTAAATGTTCAATTTATCTGGTTTCCTGGGTTTTTTGTGCAAAAAAAATGGGACTAAAGTGTAACTTTTCCCAAAATAAAGAGACTTTTCTTAAGATTTCCCTATGACAAAATCACAATCTCTATTCATAAATACAAATAAATTGTTCAAATAACATTAAATTTTTTGTTGAGTGGCTAGTGTTGTCGGCGCAAAAAAAAATTTAGAATTGTATTTTTTTTACAAACATAAATAATAATACAAAATTATAATTTAGAAATTCAACTCAAATTAACACATGATATTGTTTAAATAATTATTAAATTTAATTCATACTAAAGTTAAATGGGTTGGTGGGTTGAAAACAGGTTGATAATTTGTATCCAACTCAACCTATTTAATTAACTGGGTTAGACGGGTTGACCCATTTAACTTAAATGAGTTAAAAATCTCAATCCAACCTATTAATTTTAGGTTGGGCTAGTGGGTTGGGTCAATTTTTTCCGTCTCTACTTAAAAGTGTCCACTATGCTAGAACTTCAAAATGTCTAATTTTTTTAACAAATGTAAAAGATTCATTAGATGATAGCATCGCTGATTTCAGATTGAGATGAGTCTAAACTGCCTCGTATCAAGCCACAACTAAACCACCAAGCCAGCAGCTCTAAACTCTTTCCTGTTCACAAGTTATGTCATCTTTTAATTTAATATGTAAAATAATTGGTACAAGAAATATCTTCAAAAGATCCAATTTTTTTTTAAAAAAAATGGTACGAGAAATATCTTTAAAAGCTTTAATTTATAACAAGTGGTTTAAGGTCCTAAAACTCATCCTAATAAAAGCCACCTTATGAGTTGTGGCCACAACATACTAGCGCCGGTCCCGTGATTATGAAGACCATGTGTCATTTAACAAAAAATAGGCTCTAAAGTTTTAAAGATCTCAAAATTTAAGCAAAAAAATTATAAATTTTAATTTTCTATTTAAAATACATAAAATTAAAATTTCATTCAAAATAATAGAAAAAAAAAAGAAATTGGATTCTACTTGAAAACAACCATCCTCCTAATATTCGTTAAAATAAACTTTTCAATAACATCTTCATAATGTAACGCCCCAAATTTCAACACAAAATTTTCAATTAATAATTGAAGTGTTTATTCAAATCACAACTACAAAATTTTAAATAGGACCATTTAATCTTAAAACATTTATCAGAGTACCGTCAAAAGTTATCACGTGCACAAGTCTCCCATTGATGCGATGCAATCGAGTCGTGTCCCTCCTTTATTATATGAAAACCTGAAAACATTTAAACCAAAAACTATAAGCACAAAGCTTAGTGAGTTCCCCAAAATACCACACATAACACATCAAAAATAAACATCTATGGGTTATCAGCAACCCTGGAGACTACCCGAAGTCTTAGTGGGAAAACAACACACCCCATGGGTTATCAGCAACCCTGTAGACTACTTGAAGTCTCAGCACATACAGTATCACATATCACAGTAACAACAATAAGACCCAGCTGGTCAGCACGTATATACTACCATACAGACAAGCATACAAGAGTCACAATGAGAGCAAGCATCCTACATACACAATTTAGTGGTCGACATTGGTGCCTTTGACCCACGAACAAAGTGAGAAGACTCATCTAAATCGAAGAACTCTGAAACACTAAGATACGATCCTTTTTCTACATTGCTTGCACTCGCAAATCCACTAACACCAGAACTAGATAAAATCTTAATTAATAGCCCAAAATCCTCAAGTTTGACCCAAGGTCAACAAGTCCAACTTCAGGCTGAGTACGCCCAACGTACTCAGCTCGTACGCATGGCATACTCACTATCTAGGGACGAGACTCTACACAAGTACGCACAACGTACTCAAAGGTACGCCCATCGTACTTGGTCAAATGGAACTTTTCCATTAAGTGATTATTCTCTTAATTGCTTTCATCCAACACTCAGATCTAGTCCCATAACATCATTCTAAGTCATAAAGTTCCCACCTTTATGACTTTCCATCTCTAGAAAAGGTGCAAAAGCCAAAACCCTAACTTATTAATCCATTCAAACATCATGAAACTTGCATGGAAGGAATAGAAGGACCGATATCACATTTTTATGGATCCTAAAAGCTCCATAATTGATAAAGGTTCCAACTTTATCCATTAGAATGGTCCAAACCACAAAGATCTAGTTTTTAAGTCTTAAATGGACGAAACGAGCATCTCTTTCAACTTAATCCATTATGTCCAAGTCTCCAACCTTTAGATCCGAATCAATATGATGTTTAGATGGATAAATTTTCCAACTTTATCCATAAAAAGGTCAAAAAATTTGAAGATCTAAACTTTATGAACTAAAGTGACCAAAAGCTCATAGCACGAAAAACAAGCTAGATCTAACAAATGCATCATCAAGATTCAAGCTTTATACCTCTAGAAGAAAGATCAAGGTGAACAAAGTCTGGATCCACAAGCACCAATGCAACCAAAACTTCTCCACAGAGTTCCTTCTTCTCCAAGATGCGCCAAGGACACTCCAAAGCACTCAAAAACACATTTTTTTGCTCATAAGGCGCAAAATAGGGTTAGGTTTTCATGGGAGGAGTTGAAGGGGTGGAGGCTGAGATAGGAAAGGGTTTGGGGGAGTTAAGGAGCTTAAATATTGCTCAAAACCCTCACATTAGGGTTTGGGAACTGATAGCATATGCCCAACGTACTCAATTTACGCCCATTGTACTCAATTTACGCTCAACGTACTAGACTGATCCCAAAACCTTCCTAACTTCAAACGGTCATAAATTATTCGTTTCAACTTTAATTTTAACGATGTTTATATCCACGGAAAGGTATTGAAGAGCTCTACAATATTATCTAAATATCTTGGACTAACCTCTCGAAAAAATCCATATTTCATGCAAGAACCCGACCTATGACTTTTCTCGTTCTACACTTCGGCCCAAAACACAATTCAAAGGTTTAGATATCATAAACATCATTGCCTCCATCCAAAAGGTCTAAACATCGCCATCTTAAGGACCAAAGCCTTTACACAATCAACTTCCGACCCACGGCCCTGAATCACAGAATGATCCCGAATAGGGTCTTACACATATGTAACTTTATCCACCATGTTATGCTCAATCGTCATCAAAGCCACTCCATTAAGTCGTTCTTGAGTCATTGTACATCATAAGTAGGAATTCAAAATCTTTTATTTTAAAAAACTTCGTTCTGCAGATGCAACAGTAACAAGAATAGTCAACATAGTTCTATATGCAATAGATGTAATAGGAAAACAATCAACACGTTTTTAAAAATTTAGAATACCAGTTGCTGTCATTTTTTCCTTAGGCAAGAGATGTAAAAGTAATTGTAACTCAACATATAAGTAATTTCTATAAATATCCAATTGTTCATCTTTCTTAAGTGAAGTTTCAAGAGACTTACACCAAGACTTTAAGGTTATATCATCTAATAAAGGTAATTTTATGAATTAAACAAAAAAACCAAATATTTTATCAAATTGTTAGTATTGTTCAAACCTTGTAGTTAAAGAAGTAACTGATTGATCAACAATATAAATAAAATATTTAAAACTAAATTTTTCTTGCGCGGATTCTGAAACACTACAAAAAGTATTGTTTGAAATCTCATCAAAATGTTTTTATTTTATTTTAGGTTCAGGTATTTTAGGAAATATTAGATCAATGCCTATTCATAAGGCAATATCTTTTGCAGTTTGTAAAGCATTAAAAAAACCATTTGTCTATATTCTTAAAAAAAGAAATCAACCCTTTCATTTTTTTTCCATAGCAACATGAATAATCATATCTGATATGTGCATATTTAGTCATATAATTCATACAATATCTTAATACTTTTTGCTGTTTTTGTCTCAATTTATGAACAAAATGTGCTTAATTAGTTTAAAATTTCATTTTCAGCTTTAAAGACATGCTTGGATAAAAAAGGAAGCGGATTGAGCAATTGGAAGCTTGGAATTTGGAGATTAAAGAAAGAAGGTTTGAATGAAGTAAAACTCGACGAGTTGCTTGGAAGATTCCGGATTCAACGATGCCTTTCCGTACACGCGTTTTAAGTAAAAAACTCAGCGAGTTTATCCTAAAAACTCGACGAGTTGCTCTGTTTTTCTGAATCTATAGATATATCGTTTCTCATTCTAACCCTAACTTTTGCTGGAGGCTTTGGACGACTTTTGGAGGCTAGAGAGGTTCTGAGAAGCATTTGGTTTTCGAATTTCAATTAGAAGCTTGGATTTAAAGAGATCAAAGGCATTAAACTATTACTTTACTCTTAATCTTTGTCTTGAATCATGTTTATTACATTAGATTTCGAGTTTAGGATGTTATTTGTTGTAGTTCTGAGCTAAAAACTTCACACTTCTGTTTAGACTAGATGATCTTATGAATATGGTTTGATTGAGTGACTTTGATTATATAGATTTGGTTATGTGTCTTGTTAAGCTTGTTAAAAGATTCTTGCATGTTAATGATAATTATTTTCTGTTAATAACTAAGTAATTGAGTTGCATGAACATCTTCTGATTGCTTGAATCTTATGGTTTTGTGAAAACAAGATTGTATGTCTAGTATTAGTGAACATGAACCTAGGGTTAACTAGAAAATAAGTAAGTTAATGTGTGAGCATATGTGATGACCAACCTCATATGAGTTAATTAAACCAACCGATTTGATTAACTAATGTTACAAGTCTTACTTGATTCGAACTAAACACTAGGAAACCTGTTAGTTTAATCAACTAGCCATTGTTTTAATTAATTTGTTTGCTAAAGGA